GGCTGTGCTCAGTCATCCAGGTGAGGAAGGCCTAAAAAGTTGATTCTGTTCATCTGGACGTTTTCAGTGAAGCGTTTCATCATCATCAGGTGACTTCTTCAGTCAGCGACGAGTGTGAAAACCTGCAGACAAAACTCTGAATCACATTAACACGTGGCGTGTTTTAAAAGCTGCTGCACAGCGTGGCATCCTCGCCGTGATTATCAACAGTGTAGTTCGTTCTACGAAGACGATTTCATTTAAAGTTCAGATCTAAGTGCCGTGGCGTTCCCAGGCCTGCCGAGTGATGTAATCTGTCCAGGGTGTCCTGGGTCGTCCCAGGGGCTTCCTCGGGAGGGCGCGCTCAGAGCCCCTCGCCGACGAGGTGACCGCCTTGGTGAGGAGGAGCAGCGGCCTCCTTGCCCCATCTCTGGGAGAGCCCACCCACCCTTCAGCGAAGGTCATATCCACCGTCTCGCTTCTTCACCTTCAGAGTAACCAGCGATAAATTCAGCCTTAGATTAATCGCGTGTTATCACACATTTCTGTAGCAACGTCAGGGCTGCGACTCAGAGCTGCATAACATGTAGGGCACACTTAGGTTAAAGCGTGCGTGTGGTACGGACGAGTCGCACACGTCTGAACTTTATTACTTGTGACGAATCAGCAGCTTTTATCTCACCTGCTGGCGCCCACAGAAAGTACAGAAGTCCACCTGAGCACGCACACAGACGCACCTTTACCTGCAGCCGGTCTCATAGCGCCGGCTGCAGATTTCAGCCGCTCCTCACTGACGAGGTCACAGATCAGATTGTTTAATCCCAGATAATCCGGATGTTTTCTGTCCCACAGAAGACGAAACGAGTCAGATCTGCAGCCAGGCTCTGATTCAGTTGCTGATGTCACGCGGCATCAGCGACGCACGCCATGTGATGCGTCTGCCGGTCTTGAACGTCTCGATTTCTGCAGCCGGGTCGGAGACACCCGTGTGCAGTTGTCTTGGTTTTTCTCGCCATTTTAATGATGCTCCAGGTACGCGAACACAGCGGCTCTTTGTTGTTGATTTCAGGGGGAGGAGCCTGGAAATCAGAAACAGACAGTGGCTCCACCCCCCACTGTGTGTCAGTGTCGCCTCAACCACGTGCTGCGTGACAGCAGCTCTTTGTTCTCCACCCTCACTGGAAAGGGCCTCGCTCTGCAGGGGGGGGAGGTTGGGGGAGGGGTCAGCAGCAGTCGCACTGAGCGTCCTGGACGAGTTCAGGTGTGTGCAGCCAATCAGCTCGTCAGCGATGATGTCTCCCAGCCTCAGAGCCGCGTGGCTACAGAAACACTTTAGATCTGATTGATTAGTGATTGTCAGTCAGGGGGCGGGGCTGAGGTGGCGATGAAAGCTGCTTTCATTAATCGTTATCAATACTGAACAATTATCAAAAATACATTTATATTTAAATTATTGATCGATTATCAAAGATGAGAATTGAATCAGTCATTTCTCTGATTAATGTCAGTTATTGATCATCCTGCTGACCCACACACACACAGCTCACTGATGAATATTGATTATTATTGATTACCTGTCAGTTCTGCTCTGCTGGTCCGGTTTTTAAATCACTGACTTTCAGTCAGTTTGATAAAATGACGATGCGCAGGGATATTTATCTGGCCTCAGCCGAAAGGCTGATTGGGTACCTTCACCGCCGAGCGGGCGGCGCCGCGGACACCCGACTTTAGTAAGCTTTTCAAATGATTTCGTAGCTGCAGCTGTTCTTGTTTATGAGCGTAAACCAGATCAATGCTGTGAAAGACGACATATTTTAACTTCCTGTTTACTCCTTCTGAATAAAGCTCAGGGTGAAGCAGCTTTGGCTGACCACCTCTTTCTCTCTGTCCTCAGCTGATCTCCAGCAGCTCCATGTGACGTCACTGCTTCTTCCAGCAGCACTTCTTCCTCTTCCTCCTCCTCCTCTGCTGCGAGGTGGCATGTCGGCGGCTCAGACCCAGAAGGAGAGCAGCGAGGCGGGCTGGGGCTGCCTGGAGGCTCTGGGTCTCAGCCAGAAGGAGATCGTCCTGGCTGAGGCCCTGCAGATGGAGTACGACGCCCTGTCCAAACTCAGGCAGGACAAGAGAGGAACGGCACCCAGCCAGACCGGCTCCAAGACCCCCAATCCCTCCATCGAGCGCCACCAGCCCACACCTTCCCCGCCGGGAGGAAACCTGCCGATGGGCCTTTCCGGGTCCGAATCCCCCCTGAACCAAGCGGGAGGGTCCCAATCTCCACAGTCCGCCCCAGCCAGGGCCCTCCCCCCTCAGGGCGGCAACATCAAGGAGTCCCCGTACATCCTGGACACTTCCGAAGTCTGCAAGTTCAGGGACGCTTCTGCGCCCAGCCTCGGGGACTCTCCCGGATCCAGTTCAGGGTTTCTGCCAAAGGGTTTTCCCGCTCTTCCAGATGACACACCCCCCGCCATCCCACCAAGAAACCCCATCCCGCCACCGGCAGCGTCCGAGAACCCCTTCCTGCCCCCCCGACCCTCCACCGTGCCGCGGGACGTGAACCTGTTCATGCCTGACGTGGATCGGCCCAAAGTGACCTCCGGAGACCTGAACTATGACACCATCAACGACTCGCTGTCCCGACTAAATGACAGCTGGCAAGGTCGGAGGGCCAACGGCGACCAATCGGGCAAGCCCGTGGCCCGCAGCAAGACGCTCCCCCCTCAGGTGCCTCCCAGGACGTACGTAGCTGTTCCCAAGACCAACAAGAACCAGCGTCCGGTCTCTGCAGACCCGGTAAGCCCCTCTGAGGTCGTGCGTCAGCTGTTTGTGTTGAGGTGCGCTCTGATTGGCCACTTAAACAATTTATTTCTGATTGCATTTCTAACACTATTGAATGCTGCAGTGTGATTATAAGCAGCATGTCTGTCTCTGAAGAGCTGCTTCCTCTGTAACGAGGGTCCTGCTGCACCCCTGGTGTTTCCACATGAATCAAACTCAAGCTGAACTAAAGCACAGTTCAGCTGTGATGACCTCAGATTTGAATACAGAGGAGTTACCGGTGCACTCGGATCTTCCTTCTCTCTGCTGTTTGTTCTGTTTGGGGTGAGTTTGCTCGGCTCGCACTCAGGAAGACGTGGCGCCCTGCAGACACACCTGATCTGCAAACCCTCGTAGAGCTGCTTGCACTGCCGATCAGTAGATCAATATACGTGATTGTCGGCACCCAGCTGCTGCTCTGAGCTCTGTTAGCTTAGAGCTGCAGACAGGCGGCGGCTAAAACGTTGGCGCTGACGGTAGCCAACGTGAATCTGAGTGCGACGGCAGAAAACAGGAAGTGTTCGTCTTTGAGGGGCGTTAATCGCCTCCTTCGTGTTTCTGAGAACAGGAAGCTGAATTTACATCGTTGTCAATGTGTTTGTGTTCAGACGCGCTGCAGCTGTGCAGCTGTGCAGCTGTGCAGCCGCTTCATTTAGGAAAACACCCCGCGCTCAGAGTTGTCACTTCCTGTCAGAAGTCCTGACAGGAAGTGAGGTTTTCAGATGGTTTCTGGAGAAGTGCTGCGGTTTGATTCCCAGCCCTTCACATGGACTCGTGCGTCGTGGCGTGAACCAGTCAGACCAGTTCAACCAGCTGTAACTTGAAACCAGATTGGCAGGCGGCGTCCTGACACGCTTCCTTCGCCGCGCTCAGACGTGCTCAGACTGACGCTTCAGTTTTATTTCCCTCAAAACACGAACTCATCACCACATTCTTCCTCCTCCTCCTCTTCCTCCTTCTTCTTTTTCTGCAGCCTCAATTTCATTTCCTGCTTAGACGTTCTTTCAGTCGATGTTTAAACATAAAAATCC